TTATTATTATTATTATTATTATTAAAGACTGGAACTTGGCTTTACACTTTTAAGTTTTTATTATCCTTACAGAAGAATTTTACTTTTAAAAATCCCTTGTCCCAAACAGGATACAGTGCAATTAAAATACAAAAGATCCCCAAAGTTATGCGTCTTTTAGCAGTAGTTATTTTAATTGTGTTAGAACAAAAGTATTTTACTTACAGTTTCTGTAACAAAACAAGTTATTTAAAGGACAGTCTTTTGGAAAGGAAACAAACTTACTTTCCTGTACAGGGCAGTGCATAGTCTAGTTGCACAATAGGGTCACATTGAGGAGAGAGTATTTGCAGAGGTTCTGCTTCCTGCCACAGAGGAAGCTCCCACACAGAAGAGACCTTTTTGAGCATCCTCTTAGAGGTGCCGTTGTCCTTTTTTGTTTAAGACAAGCATGCAAAATCTTCTTGCAACAGAAACGAAAATTGCAGTTTCATGGTGGTGAGTTTGGAAAGAAAAAAACATCTGAGCGTAGCTGGCGAGCAGGAGGAAGTGAAGACAGGTGAATAATGTGCTTATGTAAATAAATCACATTTTGTAGGAAGGCATTCACTGAACAACTCTTGGAATTTTTTTTTGCTGTCTTAAGTGCTGATTTATAGTCACTTTTACTGTTCTTTCTTGGAGAACATAACTTACCTTTCAAATGAGCACAGGTCCTTTTTGAAATCTCAGCATGGATGTTATCGTTCTTCCATCTGTGAGTTTCCATGTGGACTTGGTACGTTTCCTTGAGTTTCCACAGCACCCAGGTTCCCTTTGTGGTCTCTTTTGGTGTGAAAGATATACGGTCATTGTGTGACTGAAGGCCAGCCTGTTTTTTATTCTCTTAAAAACCATTTGAGGAGGGCACCTCGATCTGTCCCACCTGGCTGTGATGTTCTGAAGATGAAGATGTGTATTTGATGTGGACTCCTGGAGGTCCACCAACCCACAGACACCTTTTCAATATGATTCTGTTTCTCAGCCCTAGAAGAACAGTCACTAAAACGGCTTTTTAAAAAAACTTAATTACTACTGTTTATTCTTCTCCTATGTACTTACCTTCTCTAGTTAGCCTGCTATGTAGTCATTCTGCCTGTGCGGAGTGGGTAGGGAGTGCAGTGCAGTGAGGAGCAGGGCCCGCAGGCTCCGAGTTCTGCATTTTCTGCTGGCATGCATTGCCTGCCAAGCAGGTTCTGGGCCTGTCCTCAGGGAGCGAGGTCCCCTCTGCATCTGGCACTTTTTCTCAGCAGGTATCCTGTGAAACGTGCACTGGTGTCACTGGCACAAGTTACAGAGAAACTGCATAAATGGTGATACGGATTATATGAGCTGTAGGGAGTTCCCTGCTAAATGCTGTTCTTTACTGGTCCTGCAGAAGATGGGAAGTAGGCATTACATCATCTACAAAATGGACTGTTTTTATGGATTCTTGCAGACAAAATTTTGTAAAATGGAGCAGGACAGCTTTCTACTTTCTATTGGAAACATTATTATGAGTATCTCTTAATTGGTCCCTGTTCACTGCTGCTGGGTGGGATTTCATCTGCCTAATTTCTTTGGATGATGAGCAAGCGGAAACCAAGTGCTTTTGTGGAGAGGACTGTGTTTACTTTTGACAGAGAAACCCTACAATCAGTGTGTCACTTCTGCGGCACAAACATAACCATTGGGATGTAAGTGGAATCGCTGCATTTGCACTGCTGGCTTAATTCACTGTTGTTTCCCAGAGCAGCAGTCCTGTCTTAATGTGCACTCTTGCCTTCTCAGTGTTTTACACACACAATATACTCACTTATTGCTCTTTAATATTGATAAGGATTAACTTCCTTTTCTGGTTGTTCCTTTCTTTCTGCAGAGGGAAAACCGCAGGCTCCAAGAAGCAAGCATGCGGCTGGAGCAGGAGAATGATGACCTTGCCCATGAGCTTGTAACAAGCAAAATTGCCTTACGAAATGACCTGGACCAGGTAATGCTAACAGAGATGGGTCCCAGCTCAGGCGTGGCGACGTGGGTTTTAAGAACCCTGCTTTGTGCTCAAGTGAAGGCATGAACATAACATTAAAAGTGTGATTATTTGTGCCTTTATTTTCCTGACAACCTCGCTCCTCGTTGCAATCAGAAAGCTGGATTTCCACATGCGTGCAGCTGTAGGCATTCACAGAGGTGTCCTGCCAATACTGACTGCACCTTCTGTGTTGTGGATTGTTTCAGAAAATGTAAGCCACAACCTTTAGGCAGATACCAAAGAATGAACGTTTACTTGAAAAAGGTATCACATACTCCTTGAAAGACTAATATAAAGGGAAGTTGTCTCACAGAATGTCTACCACCTTATGTGGATCTGTTTTTCACATCAGTTTTAGTACAGTCAACAAAATTCAGAGATAATGAAGTGGCATGGCACCAAAAATTAGAAGGGCTCCTGCGTGTCCTTTGATAATTGCTTTTGTTTCCTGTGAAGACTGTAGTGTGGAGGGCAGCAGTGTTCAGAGCCCTTTATCTCGGAGATGACTGTTAGAGAACTACACATTCAACCCCCCCTCTTTCTGGAGTGTTTTATATAGTATTGGTAAATGCTGTAACAGCTATTACGAAGGTACTAAATACAGGAGGGCCATACTCCACCACACCTCGTGAGTAGGCCCTTGCTCAGTGAGGGCTGTAGTGCCTTTTGTAACAAAAATCTTTTCCTGCAAGGGCCTCTCAGTTTGATTTCCCGTAGTTATTTGGCTTTCTTTATCTAACCTCGGAATTGCAAACATCATTGACCACGGTTGTGCAATTTGTATTTCTGTGTAGGCAGGTCCTTGACAGTTAGGCTCTGCTGATTTGCATCCGTGTGATTCTAAAAATCTGAGCTGTCTTGGTGAGCAAACACAGGCAGAGATGCACTTTGCATGATGGAGTGGGCAATCTCGTGTGAAGGCCAAAAGCAACATGTTGAGGTGCTCTGTCTTCCCTGGGAATAGCTGTACATAAAGCAGCTTTATAGCTGCTGCTGCCCATGCTTGTTTTTTCTCAAGTATCACAACAAGGTTGCTAAGCACATACCTTTGCCAGTCCCATTCCTTGCTCTCCTGCATTTTAGCAGTCTTTCTGTAGATGAGAAATTAAAAACTCCATGGAGTTTTCCCACACCCTGCCTCAGTTCACTGGCACTGAAAGAAAATCTTTGTGCTACTGCACTCATTGTCTGGGAGGACAGGTGATACCGTACACCACTGCAGGTGCTTGGAGAAACTGGAGTGAACGCATAAAAGGAAGAAAGATTTGTAGTTGCTTCAAGGAATATCTTAGACAGGTCCTTCATCAAAAATACCCTTGTAATCCCTGAGTTCTTTTGTTCCAAGACTTCAATCTTACCAATCTTCTGTTCTTTCACTGCTTGTTCTCGTTGCTCCCTCACAGCCACATACACACTAAGCAGTGTAGGAATCCTCATCTCTTCAGTTGTGGCTCTGGTGGAGCTGCTTCTGCTACACACAATCGCCACTAACACCCTCATTAATAATTACCACTGTGGCAGATAGATAAGCTAGTACCACCAGCAGTGGTAGAAAACCAAACTGCAACTCGGAGACAAGTTCTGTACCGTTATTTGTTGTTTACAGTGCCATTTGCCCTCTTGTATTTTCAGCAGACTAAGTAGTATTTGACCACACCCATTGCCTGTTTTAGCACCTAGTTACTGAACAGAAGGAGTGGTGCGATGATGCAGGTGTATCTCCCAGTCGGGGAGGTCAACAGAATATATCCAGACATTGAGAAACGCATTTCTCTCCTGGTGATCGGTGAGGATAGTGCTCTCAAAACCAAAGTGTTCCCAGTATGTTTCACCGTAAGCTAGGCCCTTCAAAGGAAGGAGAAAATTCATATTCTCCAGTACACACACAGTATCATGTTTCCCAGGGTGATACTTACTGCCACTGGTAAACAAACCATTTTATCTGGTAGCCCTGTTTGTCTCTATTTGTCTTCGCCCAGATACTTTGTAAGGTACAGTGCAGGCACCTAACGTTTTCTACAACATCCGGTTTCCCCGTCTACAGATACAAAAATGGAATGAGTTATCTGAAGTTAAACAGGAGCTAAATCATGCTGCCCTCACTTAGATTAATATTGTTCCCAACAAAAATATTCTACACATCATTATTTGTATTAGGTTTGTATTAGGACATAGTATCTGGGCATAGGTTTGGCAAAAGGGTCCTTCTGTATGGTTGTTGAAACACAGTGAAATAACGTAGAAAATAGCTACTTAAAAAGTGAATTTCATATAAAAAATAGGTTAGGTGAGCCATCGGAGGGCAGGAAAAGGCAATGCGAGAACCTGAATCTGCA